CATATTATATAGGATGCAGATAAATACACTAATAAGATATTGGCATTTATATTTTCCTCAAGTATTAGGATGAATTAATTCAACATCCATGTTTATCGGAAGGAAACATCTAAGTGTAAATGTCTGTACACCCCATGACAAGTACGCTTGGTACCATTCACAATGTATTAAATCCCAAAACGCTACAATCATCACAATCATCACAATCATCCAAAACAAATGTAAATAGTGGTGGATGATCCAGGGATGTTCAAAACGAGAGGCAAGCGCTTTTTTTATTTAATTCTTACGCGTAAAAATATAGAATCTGTAAAATCCCACCAAATGCTAGATTCTTACCAAAGTGTTTTTAAGATATGAATAACTTAGAATCTGTATAGGAGCCAAGGACTAATCACTAGAAATACACAGGACGCAGGTATTTAGACAATAATCGTTTGTCGCTGCCCAAAGCCAAACAAAGTAAACGTTTTACTGTACAACATGTATATGACCATTTTGTCTAAAGAGTTTCAAAATATATTATATAAATACTGATATACATAAACCCTAAACAATATAGACAGTAGACAATAATGTAATATAATAACGGCAAATAGTTGCTACCTTATCTTGTGTTTAATGCATTCTATAAGTAGTGACATTAATTGAAGGTCTAGACAAAATCAATCCAACAATCACGTGACAATAAATGTCGGTTAAATCAGATTTTTAAAGTTTTGATTGATATTTCTGCAAAATGTTAATCTGTTGCTTCTAAACAAATGTAGTTAAACACGCAGTTTAGAATCCGACAGTTTGTCATGACTGCTAGACCCGTCAGGATATTTTCCTTGATAACATAATGACGTTTATGGCATCTAAAGGATAAAATATATGAATGTATTAATCTTCAAAGAATTTTGTGGAAAAGTACAGGGGAACTGGCAACGTGTGCAGTTGTCATTGAGGTTTCGATTTTGAATTTCTCACTGCTACGCCTTACATAGTACATTGTTTTAACGCCTTATATAGTACATTGTTTTAACGCCTTATATAGTACATTGTTTTAACGATTTATTTCGTCCCTAAATTCCTATGATATTAGGGATGATAGCATATCCATGTCTCTTGACATTTTAATGGACCAAGTACTATTTGCTGTTGCATAATTCATAAATAAGCCGCACCATGCTATACATGTAATAACAATATTCAATTTTCGCAACAAACATAAATAATGCTAATGCTTTCCATTATTATCAAACGTAGGTTTGGCTGACAGGTATCAATGGCAGATAGATGTAAGTGATTGACAACCAACAAGAAATCTATTAAATACTCAAAAAAATAGATTATCTGAACGCAAAGTAAATACGAAAAACAAGATAAGGCCCATAGAATAGAAATAAAACCACCCCCTCTCCCCACATACCGCAACTCTCCCCCATACCGCAACTCTCTTCCCACATACTGCAACTAATCACCCCTCATACCGCAACTCTCCCCACATACCGCAACTCTCCCTATATACCGCAACTCTCTCATCTCATGCCGGAACTCTCCCCCATACCGCAACTCTCCCCCATACCGCAACTCTCTCACCCCATACCGCAACTCTCTCACCCCATGCCGCAACTCTCCCCCATACCGCAACTCTCTTCCCACATACTGCAACTAATCACCCCTCATACCGCACCTCTCCCCACATACCGCAACTCTCCCTATATACCGCAACTCTCTCATCTCATGCCGGATCTCTCCCCCATACCACAACTCTCCCCCATACCGCAACTATCTGCCCTAATACCGCAACTCTCCCCGCATACCGCAACTCTCACCCCATGCCTAACTCTCCCCCCATACCGCAACTCTCCCCCATACCGCAACTCTCTCACCCCATACCGCAACTCTCTCACCCCATGCCGCAACTCTCCCCCATACCGCAACTCTCCCCCACACCGCAACTCTCTGCCCTAATACCACAACTCTCCCCGCATACCGCAACTCTCTCACCCCATGCCGCAACTCTCCCCCATACCGCAACTCTCTGCCCTAATACCGCAACTCTCCCCACATACCGCAACTCTCCCACATACCGCAACTCTCNCTCGAGGTATGAACGAACGATAGGCGGTTGCCATCCGCTCGTTTTCCTTCCAGGGGGCATTTGACCTAATGATGCATTACTGCACAGTTGGTCTGCTATCTCGCCTGCCTGCTGCTTCATGTCAGTGTGTGTGACCAACAGCCTTTGTCAGATTAATTTTGCAGATTTATACAGTATCTTAGCCATTTCATCTACTTATTCCTCCTGCACTCACTTATTTGATAATTACATGCATTATTCCTGCAAACCGAAAGAGGCGACTAAGTGTGGACCCCCTGCTGTGACTGTTAAATCCACTGCAGAATTGAGAGGCGACTAATGAGGGCATTCCGTAGGAAATTGAGATTTTTCACATTTACCAGGCCAGATTCCCACATGCACATGTTCCACGTTTTTGATATCTCGTCCCTTCTTTCTGGTGCTTATCTCTCGTTGACTCACTTTATGTGATAGTGCATCTTGCGCAAGAATAGGTCCTCTACATCAGCGTTCCTTGTCCGCGATGCTCTCAGCTTAATTGCTGCCTTCCGCTGTCTTTAGCCGAGGGGATTATTGGTTTTATATAATAGCTATATTTTCAATTATAGTATATCAATTCTATCTTCTTGTAATATGATGTATATGTACATGTAACTGTTCTGTTTCATTGTGTCTTGAAAAAGGAGCGGATCGCTCCGAAAATTTGACAACCCAAACTTGTCCACATTGTTGGAATTACTTCTTTGCCCCATATATATATATATATACTTATACCTCCTGCACTCACTTATTTGATAATTATACGCATTATTCCTGCAAACCTAAAGAGGCGGCTAAGTGTGGACCCCCTGTTGTGACTGTTAAATCCACTGCAGAAGTGAGAGGCGCCTAATGAGGGCATACCGTAAGAAATTGAGATTTTTCACATTTACAGGGCCAATTTAAAAAAAATAAGTGAGTGAGGGTACGTATATGGCGGACGTCGTTATAGCGAACTATTATGTGACGTCAAAGTTTATAACGTCAATACTTCAAATAAACAGTCTGAAGAATCTCCTAGAAGAGATAAAAGTACTAAAGACTCGTTGTTAAGAATTTTTCTTTTTATAATATTTCTTCGTCCGTAAGGATCATTTTCCTGATTTATAATATATATATATATATATAAGATCAGTAGATAATTAATAAATAGGTCCTTGCGAAGGATTCTATATAAGATCAGTATATTTATGCTTTAATGTTTCAATTCTAATTTTACAAAACGATATCAGCTTTAAATAGTCTTCAAAACAGAGTTTATTCAAGAAATGTGTAACCTTTGATGTGACAAGCACATTTGTAATAGTAGACAATTAGGATTGACATTTCATTCAGTTTATGTAAATAAAAAATACCATGGCTACCTTCACCATGCAAATATAAAAATAAAAATCCAAAATGAAAATAAATATAATTTATTTCTTAAAATAGATAACGAAGATACCGTATTTAAACAATTACCTATTCGGAAAATTCGTGACGAAGACATTTATTTGAAAAGTTTTTTTTAATACTGTTTTCCTGAAAGTAATACGTTCCTTCGAACATGTATCTATAAAAGTTGTTCTCTATGTTCAGACTTAATAAGCTAATTCAATCGTGATACGTATTAACCTGGAGAGTTAATATGCTATTTCCACATTGACGCCCATGACTTTTGTTGTATGTGGTAAGTTGATACGATGCAGACAAACAATTAAAACGATATTTGGACGAACTCTCGGCTTGGAGTGTCTAGATAACGAAAGCACTATCAGCTTAATAACAGAAACACATTTATATTATATATCTTATAACTTAATTACTATGCCAACCTAAAATGCCAATGTATTGTTTCAAAGTTAATACCTGAAGACAAAAACATATATACGTATATCTTAAACATTTGGAAAAAACCCACTTATTATTGAATTAGCGTAAGTACTCGCTCAGCTTACGGTATTGGAACAATTGATTTAGATCACAATGTACGTTAACCTGCTGAGTTATAATGATAACAAGGATGTGGGGGATTTCAAGTGACACCCCGAGAGGTCGTATCGCTAGCATTAACATTTCTTACTATGCTCTAAGCTTCAGATCTCTTGATAGACAACTATTAAGCTTTCACAAATAGACAAAACGTGGGGGATCACTGGGGCTAAATGACAATCACTTTGATGTCACACAATTAATATGTCAACACCCACGCCGATCAATACGTTATCTGGTCCAGGACAGGTGTGACGTCACCTACTGGCTGATGTGGGAGTGAATAGGCATGCGCATAAATCCGAATGATACTTTTATCTTGTTAGTATAGGTATAGCGGATTAAGCACCGCTAATAAGTCTTTATAGTGTGGGAGTTGTAGCTTTGTAGCAGAGGTAACGAGAAGTGGGGGGAAATGTTTCTGTTATAATGTCAGAGGTTAAGGCGTTGTATTGCCAATAAGGCTTATTTAAAAGAAGACCTTACTTTAATTTGACCAGTATTACATTATGTAAACCAGACAGGTAAAAATAGCATGTAAAGGGATAGTTTGATTATTACAGCAATGAAATGCGTACTCATGTATTCGACTTCATTGTCTGTTTTTTCAGTCTAATAAGGAATTTTCCATATAGTAGGAAATGAAATTAAGTGAATACGAGGAGGACTACAAGACAAATGCTGATTAGCGTCACACAAACGTGTTGGCTGTCATGGTCGTAATATGACATTGACAATGTGAAGGACATTGACAATGTGAAGGACATTGTGCATTGGAATTAAGTCGATTTACCGTGTATCATTGCATACAAATAAACAAATAACAAAACAAAAACTTTATCAATTGATGATGTATCATCACATCAAAAATATTTTGAAATTTGAGATGAATGCGATCTCTGACGAGGTAATAATGACATACCTGAACATACCCCTTTACTTTTGACCTTGACCCGTCTGTTTTCACATTGTTTGGCGCGCTTAAGGTCACATCGTGAAGCATACGTCACTCCATCAGAACCACACACCGGTCGCCGTCCCTTGCCTTCACAGTCTATACTACATTCCGTGTTCCGTAAAGACCTGAACAGTACCTGAAACATAGGTATGACAAATCATTATCACATAAACTCGTATTATATATATCAAATATTCTCTTATATGGACAAGAAGACTCTTTCAGTAAAACTCCTCATCACTTCAAGAAAACTTGAAAATCACAAGGACAATACAGCATTCATTTTCTCATGAACGAACTAGAAATTGTGATTTCATCGACAAATGAGGAATCATTATGGAAGAGAAAAATAGAAATACAAAAGACGAAATGAAAATTTGAAATAATCGAAGGACAAATGAAAACTCCTCCAAAACAATTTATATAACAGTGATGTGTAAAGATAGTTACCCTTATAACTAAGGACTAGTAATAAACAAGTTTTGCAAAAAAAGTTTTACCTTAGCTATAGCTACACCTTTTTCCATATATATTATGGATATATTCAAAACATATATCTTTGGTAGATTTGGCTTTATCTCCCCAAAAGATACAGGCCATACAAAGTCCATATGTCACTCATTAGCCATCCAATAATGAAGTTCAAAAGCCAATTCCAGCAAATAGATATCTAGTTTACTGGTAGGGTCACACCAACTCTATGACATATTATGACTGCTTGTACATTTTCGAAAGCAAGAGTAACTTCGTGTAGTACGATTATACCCAATCTGTGGTGCCAAGGGGAAAGTACATATACATGTTTACTAAGTTATTTATGACCTTTATCATTACCTTAGGATCGTTTATCAAAAAGGGCGCTCGTTATTACGTTATTACAGACCCCCCCCCCTCCCCCCCAGAAATTAGACCAAACGGACCCAAAGGAACATTCCATCAAATGACAAACTAGAAAATCTTAGAATTTCTTATATCATAGAAAAAAGTTAACAAACTAAAATAAGGAATCAAGTACATAACCAAAACCAAGTGAAAAGATTCGTGTAGCACAACCAGTAAGTGTTCATATGTGACGTTTCGATGACTAGTACGGTATTTACTCTGTCACATTCATAAGTCAAATGACCAAATACCAAGAGTATTGATGGTGTGAGCGAATCATGAACAGGATGGAAATTGCATCAATACTCCGACATCATGGAACAGTCATTTGTCGTTAAAGTAATAATATCTCTCCGAAAACACTTGCATACAGCTAGACCTTCTTTGAAAGACACAATTGCGATTAAAATTGAAGTTTATTTTACGTCCCAAGATGGTTGACTGGTGGTAGATGATCATTCCCAAGGGTTGATCATAATTTCGTAGTTGGAATATATTCTTTAACGGTTTACATGAAACACTTGTTAAAGATGAATATCTACTACAGAGAAAAGCTGTACATTTTTAACATTATAAGGAGTTATAAGTGTCTACTGTAGAGAAAAGCTGTACATTTTTAACATTATAAGGAGTTATAAGTGTCTACTGCAGAGAAAAGCTGAACATTTTTAACATTATAATGCGTTATATAGGCATTTTCCTGTACCGTATTTCTACATAGGCTTCGGAACACTTTGACATGGCTTATATTCTTTTAACCTTAAACATATACTGATAGATCTTACATGGGCGAAATGGCAATGTGATGCTTTATATAAACATATTAAATAGTTAAGTCGGTGCTTGCTTGGTCTGTATTGCCAGTTATCACTTCAGCTTGCCTTACGATCTTTGGACATGGTCAAAGTGTGTATTGCCAGTTATCACTTCAGCAAGCTTAACGATCCTTGGACATGTTCAATGTTTGTATTCCCAGTTATCACTTCAGCTAGCCTTACGATCTTTGGACCTGGTCAATGTTTGTATTGCCAGTTTTCACCTCAGCTAGCCTTACGACCTTTGGACCTGTTCAATGTTTGTATTGCCAGTTATCACCTCAGCTAGCCTTACGATCTTTGGACCTGGTCAATGTTTGTATTGCCAGTTATTACTTCAGCTAGCCTTACGATCTTTGGACATGTTCAATGTTTGTATTGCCAGTTATCACTTCAACTAGCCTTACGATCTTTGGACATGGTCAATGTTTGTATTGCCAGTTTTCACTTCAGCTAGCCTTACGATCTTTGGACATGGTCAATGTTTGTATTGCCAGTTATCACTTCAGCTAGCCTTACGATTTTTGGACCTGGTCAATGTTTGTATTCCCAGTTATCACTTCAGCTAGCCTTACGATATGTGGACCTGTTCAATGTTTCAGTAACTGTATAACTGAAGTACGATCGGGAAACTGTTATGTTTTAACATTTATTTATGTCAACTAGGAAGGAAACATTAGAAGCCTATTTTGATCATGTGGCATGTAAGCAGAGTTACTTTGTTTATTACACATTTTGACCCAATTACTTACATAATAAACATAATATTAATCAGAAACATATTATTTTTCTAAACATTTTTCTCAGGTTGGTAAGTATGGATTATGAAAAGTTCTTTTTACACAACCAATATATTTTATTGGTTGTGTAAAAAGAAACAAAAAACTAAATTTTTGTACACAACCAATACATATTATTGGTTGTGTAAAAAGAAACATATGATGTTTACTATATTGTGTGCTATTTCACATTCTGATTTCATCAATAAAGGTTGAACGACACGCCAATGTTTTGACGATCAGGAATCAAGATTAAGAATACACCTCATTAAGATTGAAGAGTTGTTTCAATCTTTCTATTAAACACATATGTACATATGTCTCAAGTTAACGAAATCGATTAACCAAATGAATATCTATAGTGACATTATCTATACAATATACCAACAAAAATGTTTAAAATAATTCTTAGGATGACGTTAGGTATTGAAATAATTATGCCAGAATGATTGCTCTAAACATCATATAGTAAAAACCCTAAATATCTTCTAAATAACATCTATAGAAGATCTGTGCTATATTCAGGTTTACCCACAATGCACATTTGCAAAAGATATTTGATACAGTTTTGTTTTATTTCAATCGACATTTTATAGCATTCATCCAATAGCATTAGTCAGGTGGCATTGTGTTGTAGGCGTACCTATGGGAATCAGGGCAAAGGAATGTGTAAACTTTGAAAATTACACCCGAGAGCGACAGACATCCTTCTGTAGACCACGGACTTTCTCCTTATTAGTCATAATCAAGATATACCACGCGTACTAAATGTAGGTCCACTGCTATTTGTGATGGTAAACATTTCATTCCGTTTTAAGTACACAATTATATAAATATGTATAGTGCGTCAATGCGGGTACAAATCGATGTGTATATTAAGTTACATCTTTACACAAAAAATTGTGTTTTTTAAATGCAAAAAATATCCAAACCAGTTGCAGCATTACAGATTGTTAGCCTTCTCATATCCCCACATACTACAGAGATCAATGACTGTTTTAAAGTGATGAAACGGTTTCGAGCCCCGAAGTTTGCAATGGAGTAGAGCTTGGTTTACACCCGTGGTATGTTATTACAGAAAGGGCCCGAACCCACGATCATAATCAGAAGATTAAATACTTTTGCACATTTTCCTACTGTCATTACAATCTGGGTCTGTAACATTGAGCTGCCCCTGTTGAGAATTACTAACAAGAGGGAACAAGGGCTTGTTTTATATTACGTGACGAAATACCTCCAGCATTACAACAAGTTACCGTAGCTATGCTTGTAACATACCATACACAAATATAACTCTAATTTACCGTAACTATGCTTGTATTAAATAGTTTTGATAAATTTAAAGCATCAAATAATGCCTTAGATGAAGATTTACATAACACATTGATGGTTATAAGATCCCACGTAGCTATGATATAAGAATAAACAATGAAATGTAGATAAACACAACACCAATATCGTATACCGTATCTATGGTTATAAGACTCCACGTACCTATGTTTGTAACACATGATATTAGGATAAACAATGCCTTACATGCAGATAAACATAACACCACTATACCGTATCTATGGTTATAAGATTCCACGTAACTATGTTTGTAACACATGATATTAGCATAAACAATGCCTTACATGCCTTACTTAAACTTAATCAGGAAAAGACGGAACTAATCGTCTTTTCCCCAAAGTGTCAGCAAACAATGGTTCTCCAGCTCAAGGTTGGTGCCAGAACTATTGAGACTGTTCCAGCTGTTAAAAACCTAGGAGTATACTTTGACAGTTCTCTGAACATGGAGAAATAAGTGAACGCGATTGCAAAATCCTGTTACTACCAGATCAGGAACATCGGCTGTATTCGGCAGTTTCTAACTGCAGATGCATGAACGATTTTGGTGCATTCACTTGTTACCTCTCGGTTGGATTATGGTAACGCCCTGCTCTGTGGTATATCTGACAAACTAACCAGTCGTCTGCAGAGGGTTCAAAACACTGCAGCACGGCTAGTTACTCGTACTCGAAAGAGAGAGCACATCAGACCTGCGCTTTATTCGTTGCACTGGTTACCTGTACGATACAGGTCGCAGTACAAAATTCTGGTATACACATACAAGGCACTGAATTGAACAGCTCCTCAGTACCTACAGGAACTTGTTACCCTGTAACAGCCGTCAAGATCACTGCGGTCGGAGTCAGAATCTTTGTTGTGTGTCCCAAAATCTCGTACTGTGACCTACGGAAACAGATGCTTTGGGAGGGTTTCGGCTACGTTGTGGAATAGCTTACCATCTGCTATTAGGAAGTCGAATACCCTGGCCAAGCTCAAGAGGGACATAAAAACTCACCTCTTCACGTCTGCATTTTAGAATCTTTGCAAAGACGTCATGTAAATACCACCCTTTTATTTGTTTAATTATGTGCACATTGCTTGTTAAATGCATGAAAGTGATTGCAAGCCTTTGTTGTTTGTTTTCACAATTATAACCATTACTATTATTCATATGTTGTAAAGCGCCTTAGAGTAATTTTACAAATTATATAGGGCGCTATATAAATGCTGTATATTATTATCATTGCATGTAGATACACATAACACCACTATACCGGAGCTATGGTTATAAGATTCAACGTAATTATGTTTGTAACACATGATATTAGGAT